CAATAAAATGTCTACTAATAATTTTTTCACGTTCTGCGTGGTTTAGTTTTAAATACGTTGTTGAAAATTTCCTAGGCAATGACAAAAGTAAAGAATACAAATGTGAATCTGGAAATCTGGAAAATCTTGGAGACTATACCGAAGAGCAAGGAGAAAGATGTCACTAAGATATTCGTGAACTGGACCGTATCAAGATGGGACATGCATATGATGGCTGATTACTGTTGGATACTGGAACTAAAACTGGAAAAAGAGGACACCACTACATAGATCTTTTGAAGACAAAATACTTCGTTATCATAAAATAAAGTAACTTGATAGACCACGAATTTAACATAAACGAAGGGGATTACACAAACTAGAATNTCTCAAAGCTCTAGACAAAGACGGTGACTGTTTTCAATATTTAGGAGAGAAGTTTCCAGCGATAAATGATGCAAAATTGAAAGAAGGTATTTTTGATAGTCCTCAAATTCGTTCTCTATTTCACAACGAAAATTTCATAACAAAGATGAGTGACACTGAAAAAGCAACATGTCAAAATTTCAAGAATATCTCTCAGAACTTTTTAGAAAATGGGAAGAGTGGGTATTATGAAAATTTGCTTGAAAAGATATTGAAAAATTTTATAGGTTGCTTGATGGATCTTAAATTACTCTTCTACACTCTCACCTCGACTACTTTCCTTAAAACCTTGGTGGCTACAGTGAAGAACAAGGAGAAAGATTCCATCAAGATATAAATGAAATGGAGAATCGATACCAAGCAAAATGGGATATCAACAATACAGCAGATTTCTGTTGGACACTAAAGATAGAAACGAATCAGAATAGACATAAGAGAAAGAGAAACCCGCTGCAGAGGTCATTCCAAGAGAAAAGAGTTCGGTATAAGAGAAGAAAAGTGTAAGAGCAACATCAAAGAAAGCTTGGCTCGAATCAGTTGAATTTATTTGAAGTAATCAATTACTCCATGACATTTATTCAAGACTTTTTGAGATTGTGATTTAAATTTTTTTGCGATATTTTGCGATTTTTGATCAGGTTCAACTAACTTTAGATTCAAATTCGACTCGACAAAATTTATGAGAACAATCTAGTAAACCTCTTTCTAAATTTTCTCACTCTCGTTAATATGATTTTTTGCATTTTCAACTATTTTTTTTTCAAAACTGTAGGGGTATACAGCTTAATAAACTTCAGACTTGAATTCAGCGTATCAAAATACATAAAAAACACACTTGATCAAAGGCAGAACAAATTTTTTTGGAATTTTTGAGCACACTAACGTGATTTTTGGTGATTTTTACAAAATTTGGGGGATGCAGCTTCAAAGACTTCAGATTTCAAGTGTAGAACAAATTTTGTCGAATTTTTTTGCCGTTACTAATGTGATTTTCGGCGTTTTTTCACTATTTTTTAACATTACTCAAAATTTTGGAGATGTTTGAGTTAATCGGACTTCAGATTCGGATTTAGCACGGCAAAATGTCTTTATCTAAAATTAATATTTAGTAATATAGAACTAAATAAATATATCAACTTTATTTTGTATACTTACTAAATTCAAACTGTTTATGTAAGTCGATTCAATTCTTATATTTTATTCGCTCACTGACTAAGTATTTAGTTTATTGCATCGCAATCAAGTGTAAACAACTTTTTCGCATTTTTATTGTCACATGCTGCACTTTAATACAAATGTATACTTAGTGAATTTAAAAGCACTTTATCGCTATAGATAAATAAAAATTAAAGTACATAGAAGCGTTTAAAAATACTCATCGATAAATACTTACTATTTCCAACATTTTCTTTAATTCATGTATTTTATTAATTGCCATTGTTTTCATTGAATTTCAGCAGTTTTAGAATTTTATATATCCAGGTATTTCTTAAAAATGAAACACAACCAAAGAGTAAAAAAGCACCATTAGGTGTATGTTATGAATTAACAAATTTTTATTAGAATAACATACAGTCCGTACATATTTCTTGAGATAGAATTTAAATACATAAAACATTTTTCTTTGCTACGTTGTTTTTAATTTGAGCTCATATCATTTCAATCGGACGAACGATGAACGCTACGCCGCCAATGTCTTTCTACCTCGGGTGTCGAATGCGGTTAATTGCCAGAATGTGACGCAGGGGTCTTCTTGCAATCCTATCGCAACAAATATCGTACGGACTGTACTTTCACTAGACTAATTATAATATCAAGGAGTAATACATAATTATCATTTAGGGTGTAGTACAATTTATATGCTAACAGAGCATGCAATGCTTTTGATGTAACATTTCCAAAATAATTTTAATTACTTAATATTTATGAACCAGGAAACACCTTCAGCTATAACTCAGATAGTATCAGCTAAGTTTATCCCAAAGGAATTTTGATATTGAAAACTGTAGCATATAAAATTAATTATCTGCAAAAACACGAAAATACTTAGTACTGTGTGTGTGTGTGTGTACTATCAGAATAGGAAGTTAAAAGCTAATGACGTATCATGTGATCTACAAGGAGACATACTAATAAATATTACAGAATTAAACATGTTATTGATGCAGCAAAAAAGTATAATATTTATCTTATACATACTCCAACTATTTACAATTAGAACTATCAACAGTATAAATATATATATATATAATGTTGATAATTTTGGAGGAAATTGACTTTGTAAGAGTGAAAAGGAAAACATAGCGAAAGCCATAAGTAATACGGACGAAAAAATGTTCTCGTATATTATACAAATATTCACGGGCAAATGAATAAATTGAAGCCAGATATTTTTAAGGCAGAAGAATGGAGGCTTCATAGATTCCTCTAAATGAAATCTAAAGGAAATCCTTCTCCATAATACGAGTAATTTCACCTCTATTCCTATAATACATTCATGACACCGAAAGAGGGGTACAATAATATGAAATTGGTTTTAGATAGGATGAAATATGATGTTCGTAAGTGATGGGATTGTGGAAATTTAAAAGTTATAACCATTCTTTTAGGGCAACAAGCCTAATGCACAATATATCCCTGTTTTTTATGCAAATGGTATAGCAGAGATAGAAAAAAACCATTACAAGAACTTCCTTAGATCCTGGAACAACAAGTATTGTCAATGCATCATTGATAGATCCATCAAAGGTTCTTCTTCCGCCATTATTTATTAAACTTGGGCTAATAAAAAGAGCTTTAAATAAAGAAGGAAACTATTTTAAGTACTTAGAAAAACTAAAAGAAGGAACATTTGACGGACCCCAAATTCGTACTATGTTGAATGATAAAAATTTTGTTGAAGTTATGAACAACGTAGACAAAGCTGCGTGGTTTAGTTTTAAATACGTTGTTGAAAATTTCCTAGGCAATGACCAAAAGTAAAGAATACAAGTGTGAATCTGGAAATCTGGAAAATCTTGGAGACTATACCGAAGAGCAAGGAGAAAGATGTCACTAAGATATTCGTGAAATGGAATGACGGTATCAAAGAAACTGGATCGTGAATATGATGGCTGATTACTGTTGGATACTGGA